CAATAGATTTGAGTGTAAGGGGCATGCAGGGTGACCAGATGTCCCGATTTTATAGGGACAGTCCCAATTTTTGGGTCTTTTCTTATATAGGCTCCTATTACCCCCCACACCGCCGTCCCGATTTGTCACACTTGCTGTCTGGTCACCCTAGGGACATGGCATCAATAGACCTATGAGCTGCTCCTTATCTTCCTTCATCTAGTACTTCCTCAGTTCTAATGAAAGCTGCATTTGCAACTAGAACATTATTTTAAGAATAGCAGATTGTGGTATAGTCTCCAGAATTTAGAATTGCAGTAGAGGGCTGTAAGACTCTTCATAAAGATTTTAATAGCCTGAAGAAATACATTCATGGTAAATGTCCACTCCAGACTTGGTCCCAGCCACTTCTTCCTGATGATTTTTTAGGTACGGGAACTAGAGTAGCCTATGGTTTGTCAGCTTTGGTGTAGTTTGAGAAACAAGAAGTATTAAACTTCCTCTTTAAGACCCCTTTGTGCCTTAGTGAAAGATATTACAGAAATTTCTCTGGTGCTCCCTTTCCTTTGGACTTCAGAAACTAAAGGAAAAGCTCCACTGAATAGGGAACAATGAAACCATTGCAGTATTGAACTGTATGATCACATCCTAAAGCCCCATCCCTTCCTGGTAAGGAGTTGGCTAATAGCTGTCCCTTGAAGAAATGGGGTTTCTGCCTCTACTGTGGAACCTAACATGTACAGCTCAGTCTGTGTTCCTAATGAATCAAATTCAGTTAGGGTATAGTAATAACTGCTACCACCACTAAAATAGTGGAAGCTCTCCACAATGAGGCCCCAGAACATAAGCACTGAGGCAAGTCATTTCCATAGTGGAATGCATGTGCTTCACTTTTGGTATATACTTCAGTTTCAGTGACTTCATTGAGACTTAAATACGTGCGTAAGTGATGTCCTGAATAGGGATGTTTTCCTAAATCGGATGTACTGTGTGATAAGCAACACTTCAACCTCATGCCTCAACCTCATGTGGTCAGAATACTTCTGGTATAAACAAATATCCCATAGTGTTTTACTTACATGTGAAACATATTTAGTCGTGGCAGAATTTAATTATCATTATTATTTTATTATTTATTATTATTATTTAAATTGATATCCGTTTATTTTAAGCATGTTTTCAATTTTTATTCATTTTTTCCTGCAACTGTGAAAATTTAAAAATCTAGGTGAGATAATCATTTAATGACAGTAGACGCTGAGATTCAAAAAATTAAAGCTTTATAACTGTTAAAACACACGTCATCATATGTCAAAATTTTATCCTCAGTCAAACTCTAATAAGTTCTCAAGCAGCATTTTTCTTTGCCTATCTGTAAATTTCAACAATTATTGATTGGAAATATTTTTTAGTCAGTTTGTATGGGTACAGTGAAATCCGTGTTTATCAACATTTACCAAAAAATCAAATGCTTCCAAGCCTAAATATATTCCTTAGTTTAATGTACATGAAGCAGGGGCTGCTGTGCAGACATTAACTGAGAGATGTAATTGTGTATAACGCTGACCTGCTTCTTGACTCTTCTGGTCAAAACTTTGTAGCATGGCAAGGAGACAGCTTAAGTCTGATTCAGCTCATTTGGCTGCTCTTCTCTTCTAACAGGAAACAATTAGTATGGCTGCAGAGAGTGGGAGGAAAGCAAGCACAAGAACTTACACAAGTATTTTTGTTATCATTAACGTTTTCAATGTTTCTAACCCATTTGTTAAACTATTTTTCTTTTTCAATAAAAATGAAATAGTTCTAGCAAAGTGTGTGATTAATCCTCCCCTCCTCCCCCGAAAATGCTTTACTTGCTAAAGTTCAAAAATTATAATGCATCTTAATTATTACATCTCTACCACATTCCATAAAAATAATCTGAGGGGTGTAAGGGGAAGAGCTCAATATTGAAACAAAACGCCACGTAGTAAAACCAGAATTTGTGAATAGATAATTTTATTTTTAATATCAGAGGGGTAGCCGTGTTAGTCTGAATCTGTAAAAAGCAACAGAGGGTCCTGTGGCACCTTTAAGACTAACAGAAGTTAGTAATACTTCTGTTAGTCTTAAAGGTGCCACAGGACCCTCTGTTGCTTTTTATTTTTAATGTTGCCCTAGTGGTAGGTGGCTTTTGTTGTTCTTTAGTCTTGGCTTCTCTCTACAATAGTTTTCAGAATCAATAATCTTCAAGAAAAAGTGTGGTAATGTTATTTTAGTAGATAAAAGAAGATTGAGACTAATTAGATATTAATCAAAAGTAATGAAGTTTAACGTGCTACAATAGTGTAAATAATAATGACAGAATTCATTTTGTATTTTTTATTCAACAAGAATGTTTCTGCCACTTGAAAAAAAAACAATTTCTTTGGGTAGGCTAACACTAAGTATCCTGCAATGGAGTTACTAGATAGTTAACGTGGACAAGAAAGAGGCAAGTCCAACAGTAGATATTTTCAATTGTCACTAAAATGTCTCATAAAACATATCAACTTTTTATATTGCTCATGAAATTGTATATTTTGAAACAAACCAGAAACACATGCAGCTTGTTTGCATTTGAAAAGTTCACCATTATTAAGCCATTTATTTGCTTTTGTAACAACACCAATGACAAATTATGAAATCACCACATGACCCAGTAAATTATATGTGCGAGAGATACTGCATTTCCTAATGGAAACTTGTTCATTTACCAAAATTGCACAGCGTATTGGATGAACAATGTGGTATGTTGATCTCTTGAGAATTTGGTGTCAATACATTCCAGATTTTGTTTGGTCATCTCAGGTCTGTCGTTAGTGAACATGTTTCCAACCTTACAAAACTGAAAATCCTGACATTTGGTGGGTCTGTTCTGTGGTAACGAAGGAGATTAGTTCTTGCAGTCCAATCATTGATATAACTAGAGTAGTGATGTTGAATGGAGATATTTGTTATCTGTGAAAACCCAGGAGTAATCTTGAATCATTTCCAGTAATGTGTTTGTGCATTCTCCCAGATGTAACTATGCATGATATAATTTGTTGCCTAGTTCGTTTCTTTGAGCCAGGAATGGACAACTTTTCAAAGTCTTGGCTTGAAAAGATGCATGTATGTTACACCCTCTGTCACGCTTTACAAGGTACTACAATCAGGCAGTCTTTATACTTGAGCTGTCTAGACATTGTAACTGAGCTGAAAAGGACAAATGAAAGAAAAAGCCCTCTCCATCAGACCTTTTTTCATTCTGCACCCAATTCTGACTCACAAGCTGCACACTAACAAGAAAAGATAATGGGGTAAATAGGCTAAAAAGCCACTGGAGTGGGACAGGAGAAAGAACTCACAGTTCAGAGGTCCTCTGTTAATATTTGTTTATGATTAACATGCAAAAGTATTTGTCTTGAAGATCTGTACATGTATTCATTGGTGGTATGATTTTCTAATTTATTCACTCTTTCAGAATTATTCACATGAATAATTTTACTTTTAAGGCATTTGTAATTTTAACTTCCTCTCTTTGACTAACTGAACATGCCAATCAAATAGGTAGGGCCAGATCATCAGGTGCTATAAATCAATGCACAAACTCTCAAACTTCAATAGAGCCATTTCAATTTATACCAGCTTAAGATTTGTGTGTATTTAGTAGAGCTGGTAGAAAAACAGTCATTATCTTCATAGATTTTTTTTTTTAATTTGCTGGGAGAAAGTACTTTTTTTTTTCCAGTTAAAAACTTTTTTTTTATGTTTTTTCGGTTAACCCTTTCTCTTTTTTCTTTCTCCTCCGCCTTCCTACCTTTCTTCATGCCAAAGTGGGAAAAGGAAAACAGGGGAGAGAAAGGAAGGAGGACAACAACCTTTTTGTCAAAGGGGAAATTTTTAAAAAATGAAAAATGTCACGAAAAATGTCACTTATTATAAAGTAGTAAACTCTGCATGACCACAGATGTTTTCAAATGAAAAATGTTGTTCTACTGAAACTTTTACCTCTTGAGAGATTCTCCAGTTTCTTAATACCTCACACTGTTCAAAGTTGCAGTAATGGCAGCATGTTTATAGAGTGTCCACAAGAACATCTTTTCAATAAAACCTACTTTATTATCATTTAATGAAAATTGTGGAGATAATTTCCAAACAATTAAGAAAATGTAATTTCCCACTGAAATGTCAAGCTTTTAATGAGATTTATATTTGAATAATGATGGTTCTGTCTGCAAAAGTAGTGTTTGAGAGAGAAATAAATGAAATGACTTGGTAGCACTTACAGTTGTGTAAGGACATCTTTTTAAAGGAAGAAGTATTTCCAGGGTATCAAAGAACAATATAACACTAGTTTGAAATACGGATGGGATTCTCCAATCCGATAAGGCCAATTAATACTCCATAAGCAGCCCTAAATCAGGGAATCATAACCAGTTCTCTGCAGCCCCCTCTCCACTTTGTTGGGTATGTCTACACTGCAGCTAGAAGCATACTTCCCAGTGCAAGCAGGCTCTGCTCAAGCTAGAATGTTAAAAATAGCAGTGTAGTCAGGGGTAGCTGGGCTGCAGCTTGGACTAGCTGCCATAATATGGACTAAGGGAGTCTGGACAGATTTGAACTCAAGAAAGCTTTATTTTTCAGCCTCTTCTGTTGCCAGTTCTCTCTTCCATAGCTCTAGGGTCTGGTGGCTCGATGTCCCCTCTGTCATTCTTACCCTGCTTCATCATGTCTGTCTGTCACATAATGTCATCACCATTGCGTTACCTCTGTGTGAAGTCGGGAGTTATTGGGTGCTCAGCACTTTTGAAAATTAAACCACTTTTTAGATGCCTAAATATGGATTTAAGAGAAGAGTGCCCCAGGAGCCTCCTCAAACAAATCTACATTTATTGGCAAAAATTGAACTTTTGCTCACGAGTGGTGAGCTGGTCAGCCTAACTTAGTTCCTAGTAGTGCCTATGGTCCAGCAAGCATCACTGTAAAAACACGTTTCTCTTCTTCTTTCTTTGTTGTAGGATTTTAGATAATGGGCTGTGTGCAATGCAAGGATAAAGAAGCAACAAAACTGACAGACGAGAGGGACGGCAGTTTAACTCAGAGTTCAGGATATCGCTATGGCACAGATCCCACTCCACAGCACTACCCTAGTTTTGGTGTGACTTCAATTCCAAACTACAACAACTTCCATGCAACAGGAGGCCAGGGACTGACTGTCTTTGGGGGTGTCAATTCCTCTTCTCATACTGGGACTTTGCGTACAAGAGGAGGAACAGGTAGGTCCCGATACAAGCTTATTTCATGGTATATTTTAGCACATTGTTTAAAAATGTATCTATGTAGTATAAAGTACAACTAATTTCAGAGTAGTCTCTGAGCTCTAAAGGAGCCTATTGACTTAGGGAAAAGACTTTGGAAAAATTCACCTCTGACATTTAATCATTGAAATAAACTGCACTAAGCATTGAAGTTACTGAGTAAAATAACCATAATTTCAACCATATAACTACACCGCTACCTCGAAATAACACCACCCGATATAACACAAATTTGCATATAATGCGGTAAAGCAGTGCTCCCGGGGGGGCGAGGCTGCGCATTCTGGTGGATCAAAGCAAGTTCAACATAACACGGTTTCACCTATAACACGGTAAGATTTTTTGGCTCCCGAGGACAGCGTTCTATCAAGGTAGAGGTGTACTAACTTATAGTAGCTACTAGTTGTAAGCAGTGGGGGTAACCTAACTACCTGTAGTAATTACAAACCAAACTGAGCCCTTTTGCACACACATTTCATGGTATCACAATGAAAGTGTTCAGATATCTTCTCCTTTTTCAGGTGTAACTCTTTTTGTGGCGCTTTATGACTATGAAGCAAGAACAGAAGATGACTTAAGTTTTCAGAAAGGAGAAAAATTTCAGATACTTAACAGCTCGTGAGTTTTAATGGGGTGTCATGCTTGTCAGTTACTATTTTATAATTAAAGATAACATAATGTCAACAGTTCTGTTTATCAGCTTATATAATCAGTAAAAGAAAAGATGTCATATATTCAAGAAATATGCTTTTTAGGTCTTGTGCTTGTCTTCCACTGCTTTTTACAGACTTTATTATGGGGGGAAATTTCCAAAACTGCAATTATTCTTTGAAAAGTGGCATCGTGAGGTTCCATGGTGAGAGTCTCTTTCAGTGATTTCCATAGCTAATGGAATTTAGAATTCACAGCAAATTCAATCTTGGAACCGAGAGCACAAGCTTCTGTGCATCACCACCAGTAATAAAAGTGCTGCAAGCCAAATTAGGCCATGTTCACACCTCTGCAATTCCATTATCTTCAATATTTTACATGAGAGTTTAATTTGAAAGAAAAAAAAACTTAGATTCACAAGAAGGAATACAGTCCAGCTCTTTATGCCAACAGGAGTAAAAAGCAATAACATTTTTGTTACTACAGTAAGATGCTAAAACTCTGAATATGCACAGGGAGCAGATCTGTTGAGTAATAATGCACCATTTCTACAGTCATGTTTGTAGGACTGCACTTTAAGCCAATTTCTTAAAATGAATTTTAGCTACTGTCCATGAAAAGATACTCATTTGTGGGTTAAAATCTGCTTCTAAAAGATTACTGTGCTGGCAGTTTACTATGAATCCTATATTGGAATAACTTGTAGAAAGCTTTACCTGTTGTGGGCAATGTTGCTGTCATAATGAAATAAAAATGGATTAATATCCAAAAGTATACAGTAAGGAACAAAAGCAGTATCACATTCTGTTTTATGACAGCGGGGCAAATTCATCCCTGATGTAACTCCAACTTTAATAGAATAACTTCAGGGCTCAGTTTGGCCCAGTGTCCATTAAAATGAAAAGAGTCAGGTAGTTCTGTGGAATATTTTATGAAACTGTGCAGCTGGAGAGCTTTGATGTAGATGAAAGTACGGAAGCCTCAGTTAAGACTTGTAAAGAGAGCAGCAGTTTAAAAACATCTCCACTTCTAAATTAGCAATTGCAAAAAAAATCTGACAAAAGATTTTATATTATCCCCTTTTTTCACATTGTCTGGTGCTATCCTAGCCTTGAAGCCTTGCCGCAAGCTATATCATGGCTTGAAACTCTCAAAAAAATCAGTCTATTATAAATTCCTTAAACATTCCACTTAATGAAGTCAATGGGAGCTCACAGTAAGCTATATTATTTGGCGTCATTGTAGGACAGAGTAAAAGAACAGATTCCACCCACTCATGAATGGTAGCAATGCATGCATTATGATGTTGGTACATATTGTGTGGAGGAAGGTTTTCTAGAGAGAAAATCTGCTACCCGTTGACTGCCTTAGGAGTTGTGGGTGCTCAGTAACCATCAGGATTAGGCCCTACATGCTCAGAACCTTCAATATCTAACCACACTCTTGGAATGTTGAAAATCAGGATGGAAAGCTTACAAGAACAGGCTTTGTTGTGAGAATTCATACTTTTGTTATGTTCCTGTTCAGGCTGGATATAATGCAAGATAAGCCTCTTTTGTGCTCTTCTGCTGCTGCTTGGAATCATGAAGCACACAGGTGCACAAAAATGAGTTGGTTTTGTTTGAAAAAGAAATCTGTTCAATTGAAATCTAAAAGAGGTTCAGGTCTGGTTAATCTTCTGGGTGAAAGTTCAGGTCAGTAATAAACTTTATCTGAGCTATTTCATGGATCCCTAAAATTAATGTTGGATTTGATGTAGGTTGAGATAAAATGTAATTTAATTCCCCTCCTCACCAGCACATTGAGAAAGATTTATGTATTTCTCTTTTGGAACATTTTATGACATACACTATGTAATATTTATGGATACGATAAAATACCTCCATCTAGTGGAATTTACGTGCAATAATACATTGGAAATAAAAAATAACTAATACATCTCTGTTATGCAATAATAGAAACAACGATTTCATAGAGGATTTTAATTGTATTTATTAATAAAAGCTTTTTGTCATCTCCCAAAAATATTTTATATGGAGACACAGGACAAGATTTTCAAACTTTGACTTCCTAAAGTTAGGCACATAAACAGAAGTGGCCCAATTTTCAGAGTTGCTGAACACCCACAGCTTCTATGAAGTCAGTGATATCTGTGTGTGCTCAACAACTCCTGAAAACCAGGTACTTCTATTTAGGTGGATCATTTTAGGTACCCAAGTTAGTGTTAACCAAAATTTCTAGAATAAAGATTGTGTTATGGATGAGATTGCCTGCAACCTACTGAAAACAGACGGGGGGCGGGACTCTCACTCATAAAATGAATAACAGAATATGGATTTTTTTTAAGATTACAAATCAATAGCTCAAAAGATGAAAAAGAACATCTCCTGTTTGACTAAGTTCAGGTGTTTTCTGAGCTGTCTTATGAAGCATTTTACAAGTTCTCTCAGAAACTAGTTCACAGAGAAATAGGTTTTAAAATAGTTCATCTTCATATAATTTAAATGCTTGTTCAAAACAGCATTGCCCATATTTGATTTCTGTAGTTCCCGTTCGCTTATTGGAAGCTTTAAGGTTTTTAGTTCACAGTTGTTGATTCTGTATAATTTAATTAAATCTCCATTTTACAGATTTGGAAATAGAGACAGAGTTTATAAACTGTCCAAAGCCACAAAGAGAAATCTTTAGTTTGGCTACACTGTGCCAGAGTGTGGACTACAGGAATGAGAATTGTAGAGTGCACCAAAGTGTTGAGATCTAACTGCCCCGAGTGGACATTGTTGATGCTAACAAAAAGATACCTACTTTGTGATAACATCGTCCTATTTGAAAGAGGGCCATTTTAATGCAAACTAGGTACCTTTTAGATCGAACCAGCAGTGTCCACACAGGACAATTACAGTGCTTTGGTGAGCTCTGCGATTCACTCCCCTGTAATCCACACTCTGGCGCAGGGTAGAGGTAGCCTTTGTTCGAAATGGAATTAGAGTCAGGAGTACCTGGATCCCAATGTTGTGTTCAGACCACTAAACCATGAATCATCCCAACCTGTAAAAAGCTGAGAAATAAATATTTTCTAAAGCTATTGCATTTCATTACAGCAGATTTTCTTCTAAGGGCCATCTCTTGTCTTCATGCTATACATCTGCCTATTATTGATATAAACTGAAGTTGTGTGGGAGGGGGCAGTCACTGCACTGAGATGGCCCTGTTTTTCTTTCTTTTGAAAGGTTTGGGAGAAGTGGCTTGCACAATGATTTGAAAATGTAGCCAACTCATTTATAATTTAAAATAGCTTTGTTGGTGACCAGGAGAAGCAACACAGAGCTCAATTTTCAGAGGCTATCCCAAGCTGCAGATTGGGTAACAAGGCAAGTAAATGGCCTTGTTACATTCTTGAGTATCCATCAAATGCATCCCACTTAAGGTGTGGATGTTCCTATTATGGTTAGAGATGGACGCGACTCAAACTTTCCCAAAAGTTTGGATCTGATATTTCGTTTCAGGGTCCTCACAAGAGGCCCCACACCAATTATTCCACACTCCAAGTCAAACTCAGCCCTTACTGAGGGTGGTTGGAGTGGAAATAAACAGCCATTTATGCCACTGTGCTGAATTTGAAAAACTATACTTCTGAACACTAATTTAAAAAAAATGTAAATAGGTGCATGGGGTAAGTGTCTTAATTTGGCTTAGAATGGTACCACATTCTCTCTCTCCAAAATGCCTATATGATAAAAATGTGAGTTGTTATTAATTCTTAGCATTACCTACAGCTTCATGCTTTAACAGTCAAATAATTTTCTTTGCAACTGTATTTTTCACTCTGACTGTCTCACCTCTATTTCTTCAGTGAAGGAGACTGGTGGGAGGCACGTTCCTTGACAACAGGAGAAACTGGTTACATTCCCAGTAATTATGTGGCTCCAGTCGACTCCATCCAAGCAGAGGAGTATGTTTCCTTTTCATTTTAAAGAGATATTAACACTGTAATTGAAGGAGATTTAAGAATTTGAGTTGATTGATTGTAGTGATTTTCAAGAGACTTACATCATTTTTATTTCAGTTTTCAGCTGCACTGATAAATAATTAGGTAATTAGTAACAAAAGGAGCACAAACTCAGCCATTTTTCAATGTCAAAACAAAACGGAAGAAATCACAGCAAATGAAGCAGACCTTGTTCTGTTGTTCTAACCAGTTTCTTGCTTCAGACCAGAGTTGCCCAAACTAACTTGCCAGTACCCCAGGAACAAGTAATTTACATAAAACAGGGCAGATTGTATCAACCATAATTTTTAATATGGGATGATGGCCCACAGAGTCTATAGCAGGCAATAAAGCATGGTTTGCTGGGTCTATAGCCTCTGTGGACTGACACTTTAAGAACCCATGAACTTCATTTTAGACCTATATTTATTTCATAATCAGCATGTTGTGCCGTTAGAGCAATCAGTATTTGAAAAGTTATATTGTGAAATTGCCTTATTTTAATGAGTTTTTTTATTTCAAACAAATTTAAATTATTGGGTGCTAAGAAAAAAGAAATTAATCTAGCACAATGGCATTTAGAGCATAAGTACCTACAGAATCATGAAAAAATGGTACGCTCTTAGGTTGTATCTGGCCTTTCTATTCATTTTTCTTAGCTCTGGTGCAAGAGAAAAATTGGCCTTTGATAAAATGGGTGTATAATCAAGAAGCCACGGGTCAATAAACTGTTATACTGCAATTTAAAACAAAATATAAAATATACTGTTGACTCAGAAGTTAGTCTGATTGCAGCTCTCTTTCCAGTGGCAGCACATTTTAAAATGTGTTCAACCTTTTTTTCATTCATTCTATCCACTATATGCAATGGTCTAAATTCTGGCAAGCACTGTATATCCGCAATTATCAGAGGCTTGAGGTGGATGTGGATCACCTTTCCAAACCCAAAGAGAGGCTATTTCTTTCAGACTTTCTATGGCACTACCTGTCACTTGTGTTCCAGGGTAAAGCCTAAAGTAAGAGGACCACAATGGATCCAATAGAGGGATCTGTAATTTTCTTCAATGATCTACTATTTTGGAGCTTTGCAAGTCGAGTGACCCTACTGAGCATCCTATCTAGCATTTTTCTTAGCTCCTCTTATGTTTTTAAGGTGGTACTTTGGCAAACTTGGCCGAAAAGATGCTGAGAGACAGCTGTTGTCATTTGGAAACCCACGAGGTACCTTCCTTATCCGTGAAAGTGAAACCACCAAAGGTAAGATGGCCAGTTCTATGAATATTAATGGTAAGTGTAAGACAGAAATTGTAGCTCATGGTTATGACAAGTCAGCAAGATTCTCTTGTGAATGAAACCGAGATAGAAAGATATCACCTAGTCAGACTGCAGTGATCACTACAACTCAATTCAGTGAAAACCATTATTTATTTCTGTACAATTAAAATGTTCAAATCTCACCTTCTCATATGGATATAAGTAAGGGGTTTTGGGGGGGGTAGTGTTTCTCCATACTTTCCTCATCTCTTTAGAATTTTAATTTCACAGAAATTTTTTAACAATTTTAAATTCAAGTATTTCAAAAGCATGTGAAAAGAAGGAGCATTGTGTGGAGAGTTGGCATCATGAGTGGGTAGAGCTAAGATTGTTTACAGGACTTAGAAGAGAAGCACCATTTATATCTTTCAAGCTGACCTCTCATTATATGATACATCCTGTTTAATAATTCAGGTGCAAGTGCCAAATAATTCCTTCAGAGCCCCTAATTCCAAATGGAATGTCAGAGTTGATATTCTGTTGCTTCAAAAGGATAGCTTCCCATGCTATTACGCTGCAGCTTGCCCTTAGTGTAGCAGCCAGATACAAGTGCCCGTAGCGTAGCAACCAGGGTCAAGGTACAGTCTTCATAGTCTCTATAGCCGTATAGCTTCTAGACGTTCCATGTCACTGACTCCTGATTAAAATATGGAGAGCATGACACCCTAGGCTACAGTTTGAAAACTTGACTGTTATAAGCATGCTTCTACCCTTCAGGAGTAGATTTATGTATAGTTCTGAACAACAGTTATTTGACCTTGTTTGCAGAATGATAGTTTTTCAGAACATCCACACTATTTCCTTTAGCTGAATCTGTTTTTTCTCTTAGAGCTTTCTAGGAGAAACAAAAACACCTTAACATGGGGGAAAACTGTCAGAGATGTGCTTATAACATCAATGTCATTTTCTTTGCTGCATGACTTTGTTGAGGCTTTCTACAGCAGCAGGACGGGCTTCTGTTGAAGATGGAGGGGCTTTTGTGTTGTTTTATTTAATTTCACGTCCATTGTCAACATTTCTATTTCCCGACTCATCCATGGAGCATCTCAGGAAGATGGTGAAAGAGAAAATATAGCCAACTTGCCATTCAGATCAAAGAATAAAACATATTGGAGGATGGAGTGGTGGATTCTCCATCTCTTGGAGTCTTTAAATCAAGACTTTCATGCACTCTATCTCAACAAGAACTTACGGACTTGATGTAGGAATCACTGAAAATCTATGGCCTGTGTTATAATGGTCAGACAAAATGATCATAATGGTCTCTTCTGGTCTTAAAATCTATGAATCAGCCAGGATCACGTTAAAAGTATAAAGCTCGATGACTTCAGCAGTGAGTTTAACACTCTTTGGTCAAGCTTTCCCACTCCCCCCACTTTGAAAATAAATAAATCAAACCTGTCATCTCATCCTTTCAATGCCTGACTCCCCAGACATGTCATCACTACTTGTCTGTATGATCATTCTCCCCTCCTCCATGCTGTTTGTTTTATGTGGTTTTTTTTTTTTTAAAGTTCATAAATGTATGCTTGTGTATATGTAATATTTATCCATACATCTATGTGTGTATTTGTCCCTTATTGCCCAGTTAGTAAAGTACACTGTAGGTTACTGATCAATGAAATACATGAAGATTCTCCAGTCCTTCCACTGGATCTGAGGTCAGTGGGACTCCACAAGGGGCTGTACACACAGATCCGATTGCAGGACTGGAGCCTAAGACTATGTTTACATTTTTCTAAAGAATCTAAAATACTAATCAGATAGTGAGTGTGACTAAGGAGAATACAGATGTTGCCAGTGGTGCAAGTCTTACAAAAGCCTAATATCTAGGTAAAGAACTATGCCTGGAAAGCTTGCATGAGTAGGACTCTGAGGTAAAAATTTCATTACAAAGCATAGCTTGAGAGCAGGTTTATTCCCCTGGCCCCCAAACTGTTTTAAAAAAGAATCTCTGAACTCAACTTGTAGAGATGTATTTATCTCAATAGGGAAATCTCTTCAGAAAAATAAGCTCCTAAATATACAATTTTTGCTCCATGCTAACAAAAATCTTTTTCTCCTCCTGAGTATGTCTCCTTCTCTTACAAAACAGAATCAAATGTATATAAACATCGGCAGTTTTCCAGGTGGTGTTTTTCCTAATCCTAAAGGATGAATAACAGGAGTTTGAGAGCTCTTGCAGCAGGCTCGGGGTGTGTCTACACTGCAAAGAAAAGCCTGCTGTACCAAGTCCCAGAGCCCAAGTCAATTAGCTCGGGCTGCAGAGCTAAAAATAGCAACGTTGACATTCTCAAAACTCAGTGATAGTGAGAGTCTCTGAGGCCAGGCTCCAGCCTGAGCAGGAATGTCTATACTGCTACTTTTAGCCCCTCAGCCTAAGCCAATTGATCTGGGCTCTGAGACTCGGCACCTCAAGTTTTTCTTTGCAGTGCAGATGTGCCCTATGAGGGTCTTGCTCACTGGAGCTGAAATCTGTGGTGAACAGCTCACAGGAAGTCTGTTGCAATCCAATATGACCAAAGGAATTTTTAAATTCTATATCTGACTCCTCCTTGCACTTGTCTCCAGGTTGGAGCTGGGGAGATACTTTCCAGCAGAAAAGCTGGTTGCATAGCTGCTTTTAAGCACCATTTTGCCAGTGATACTGCTGAAAGGAGTTAATCTATAGGTTATCCCAAAAGGTACAATTAGTTCTAATGGACAGCCAATCAGTATTGTTTTTCATCAAGCCTGGAGGCTGTAGTGACCCATCCCATGTATTGGGCAGACTGAAACTATAAAAAAGGGCAGCTTCCACCAGCATATTCCTGATTGCCTCTTCATTTATGAGGAGGAAAAATGGCACCAGAACAATAGAGTTTATTACAGTGCAGGTTCTCATGAGCTTGAATCAATTCTGTGCGGACAAAGTCTCCTTTAAGCTTTCAATAAAGATGCATCATCTCAGCGCCTTCAGTTCTGAAGTCACTAATCTTTTAGTCAGAAAACTGGTTCATGCCGTAGGATATGTTGTCACCTCTGATAAGGGAGAGGACAGATTTGTATGTCTGCTTTCCATTCTGTCTAATGCCTAGAGTCCTACTGTGGATTTGGAGAGACATGGTCAATGGGCATCATTCTTGCATGTCTGTGTTCTTGCTTAACGTTGCCATGTTTTCTCTCTCCAAGATGGCTGCACTGCAGTAGTGGACAAAGTGATTGCTGCATTTAAAGTTTATTAATTGGTTGTTAATGTTTGAAAAGCAATTTGAGATTCTTCTGGATGAAAAGCACTGTCTCCAGCAGGTGCCATGAAAATCTCGACATTTACCATATTTTGCCATTTACCTAAACCACAGTATTTGCAGTGTAACCTGACACTTAAAATTGGGAAAGTAAATTTAACAACCTCAACGAGTAAATATTAAGACATAAATTCTCATTTACACAAAGGCCCCTCATTTCTGCTAGGCCAGTGTAAAGGGGACTTTGTGTAAATGATAATCTGGGCCTAAGAGATTAATGGCACTCACTGTAAATTTGTTAGGCTCACTAGTTCTTATTTAAAGTACCCCTCTACCCTGGTATAACGCGATCCGATATAACACGAATTCGGATATAACGCGGTAAAGCAGCACTCCAGGGGAGCGGGGCTGCGCGCTCTGGCAGATCAAAGCAAGTTTGATATAACTCGGTAAGATTTTTTAGCTCCTGAGGACAGAGTTATATTGGGTAGAGGTGTACAATATTTGCTATTTCTGTGCAGTGTCTATTTTCACTAATAATAAGTGACTGACACTTTTTTTTTAAAATTGCCTAAAAACGACTGCTTATACTTTTTTTTGTTCTCCTGACTTTGAACAGGTGCCTATTCCCTGTCTATTCGTGATTGGGATGATATGAAAGGAGACCATGTCAAACATTATAAGATTCGTAAACTTGACAGTGGCGGATATTATATCACAACTAGGGCACAGTTTGAAACTCTTCAGCAGCTAGTTCAGCATTATTCAGGTAACTTTGCAGATAAATATCTGATTCTTTCAGCTGTTGCAAAACAAAAATGTTTGCTGTTGACCTCGCCTCTCTCTGTAAGATGTCCTAAGGAGTCTTTTTATTAAGTGACTCATTCACTGCAGTGCATCTTTATTATCCCTTTCCCATTATTTATAAGCAGTTTTACACACCATTCATAAGGTACATAGGCAGTGAAATTTCATCTGTTCTCCTGTTATTTTTACTTTCTAAAATCCCCAAAGCGCATTTGTGCACTCATCTAAGTTACGTACTTTGTGAACTGCATAACTATGGGACAGGGCTATGGGGAACTTCCTAGTGATACAATTATCCAAATAATTCCTGCTTGGTACATGGCATTTCAATCATTATTTTTTAAACTCACTTATTTGCACTGGATACATCTTGTTCTCTGAACAAAAAGAATTTTGCAATTACCAGGGTTTAGACTACAGATGAGCTTGAACAACAAAATTCATATCTATAACTGAGTTAGTGGTCAACAGCAAAATCAGATCAGTATTTTGATTCAGAATCTATAAGAGCACGGGGTCATTCAGATCTGACGTTTTGACTCCCTTTGTAATTTAGCCGCTTCCCATTTCATCACTTTTTTGCTTTATTTTCTGATTGGCTTTAACCAGTGTTGCTACTGCACATAATGCCAATTCAGTTTTTTTAAAGGTAAATACTTTTCTTTTTGTAGAAAAAATTAATAAGGGTGCACTTTTTTTCAGAAGTACTCAGCATTGGCCTAGCTCTTCTCTTATTGAAATCAGTGTTAAAATTCCCACTGGCTAAGGGCTTGTCTACACAAACGTTTAGTTCATAGCAAAGTGGGATGTGAATCCACCCCACATGCTGCAAACTGTCTGTCCAGGGCTGATGCACGTTAACAAGTTCGTTAGTGCACTTTGATCTAGTCCCATTTCTAAGAGGACTAGATCAAAGGGAACTGATGAGCTGTTAATGCATGTCAGCAGCGTGCAGGTGGACAGTTGGTCCTTGGCAGGCTAGTGTGGTGTAGATTAATTCCCCAGCTTGCTGAAAACTAATGGTTTGGGTAGATGGGCCCTTAGAAGCAGAGTGGAGCCAACATGGAGTCCTTTTGAATATCATACTCTGTGTTTGTGTGTATTTAGGGCACAAGTCCTCTGTTTAGCTGCAGACCAGGTAGCTCGTGAACAGCTGTAGTGTAGCCTTCCCCACACAACCCTGCCACTCTGCCTGAACGGTGGGGTGGGAAAATAGTACAGTCTCCATGCCCATTCAGTCCTTGACCCCCATGCAAAACTACCAACATGCCTCTGCTAATTAATTGTTGTGGTGATGCGTTCTGTTGTCACCACTTTTTAATGGAAAGTGGATTGAGACCACAAACTCATTTTACACAGGCCATCTGACAGATGTTAAATAGTAACAACTTTCTGGCACCACCTTCCTAGACTGGATTTAATTCAGCAAGGTGAAAGGCTCTCCTATCTCATTATCTATCCCTCTCAGGCTATGCCATGCTTTTAATACAGAAAGAATCTGTTTCCCCTAAGGTTTGTAATCACCAATATTAAATGTGACCCTCAGGCATGGCAAGATGGGCAATAATTGTGAAGGGCCACCCCCTAGCTGGCACAAGGCACAAAAGTGAGCCACATACTTCTCTAAATTACTCTTAATTGGCTTGTTTCAGCACCATGCACTTTAATTAAAAAGCATATAATCATTCCACATCCTGCACAACCTTTTGACATTGACAACATTAATTTGTACCAATTGGTCACTAGTACTAACAAGCAACTGAAGAAACCAGTTTAAAGCACTTTGAGTTGATTTGGCCAAAAATGTTACATGGGATTGATGCAGAGCTTATTAAAGGTAATATTTTATTGTGGTAAAAGTTTTTGCCAAAGTTACATTTGTAAGCCAACAGAGCTGCTGAATTTAATTCTCACATTTTAGTGCCTGAATTTACTCAGCATTAGCAAGTGCTGATATATAGCAGGTTACAGCAAAGTATGGAGCAAGGAGTGCTCCATGTTAATTTTTGACTGCCTGAAAGTGTCATTAAAGACAGAGAGAAATAATTTACCTGAAATGTGTACTCATACTTCCGTATACATTTATGTATACTATATTGCCTATATTTTTCCACTGAGTGTTACATATACAGCACTCTCCATATTTTATTTATATAAAATACTAATGGCTGATTCAAAAAAAAAAAAAAGTGAAGATGATTCCTGCAGTACTTCATTTGGGAGGGAGGTTATATTTCATCTGTCCTTCAACATCTTTTCATTGCATAATAATTAATGAAATTGTACCTTTTTCCTCTAGCCAGCAGTGCAAGATGCATTGTTTCATCTTCCATGATTAGCTTCAAATTGTATATACAATACTTATTACTTAAAGGCCTAAGCTCTGAACACGCTGACTAATATTTATGTAAAAGGTCAACATACCTTTCAATAGGCATATTTTAAAATAGAAGCATGTATTTTTAAGAAAATTCTTGTGTTAGCTTTTCATAATAAGTGACTCAAATGTATTTTATGAAAGTTTTTTGAACAGTGCATGTTTTAAGAAAAGCTTTCATGGGTTTTTTTCTGTATGTTATATCCATGCTCTGTTTTCTGTGTGCCATATTCCTGCCCTGCCCTGCTTTCTCTTCTTCCTTCTTCCTGATGGGCCTACCTGAGAGAGTGGTTATAACTTATGCTCAAGGTGATTTTACACTAAACAACGATAACTACTTGGACCCTTAGGTCCAAGGCATTTCTTCTCATCCCTGGTACAATACCTTGAGTTTCATGGATAAACCTAAGGGATCAAGGGTACTAAGATAATACCAGCTCTTACTCAGGATGGCCTAAAGTCAGCCAGACTTTCCACTAACAGGGCACTTGAATTCCAGTCACCCATGCCATAACATTCGGAGTGACGGGCTATTCATGGAAAAAGTGGGTCTGGTCTATTCTTAGGCATTCGGTGTCTGTTTCCTTGGAGCAGCAAATATGTCTTTGATGCTGGCACTGACAGGTTCCTCTCTATTAAAGGAGAGCAGAAGACCATGAGATCCCTAAATTCCCTGTTGCAGCCACCCAAGCTCATGCAGAGGCTTCCAAACATCTAAAGAAACACTTATTGAGTAGCCATTATTCTAACCTTCCCAGTGGAGGTGCTTCCAAATGAACAGGCTGACTTGCTGGCCCAGGTTCCCTGATTTGCAGTCTTTGATGGTTTGCTAAAAGAGGTACAAACTTTCTCCTTTCGTTTTCTGCAAAACCACTTCAGCTACCTAAAGAGAGCTCCTGCTATCCCATGATGTTTCAGCTGAGAAGGCAGAGCTTTGTTTTGCCTCTACCCCTCCCATTTCATTCTGGTGCACAAACTTCTCATCTGCCTAGAAGGGAATGTTGCAAAAGTGAATGAAAATTTAAGTTTAATAGTGATCTACTACCTTGCCCTGTTCTATTGTCTCTGTGTTAACGTGTAAATGTAATCTGGTCAGGGATCCTTCTTGTCCGATCTGTTTTGGGAAGTGCAATGTGCCTTTACAGCAATATATAAATCATAATGATTAATAATAATAGAATAGGGAGCCTAAAATTGTATGAATTGGAGTCATTCCTGTTCCAATCCTGTCTGCTGCTAGTCAGTTTTCAGTGAGGTTACAATGAGGAGTAGTGTTAATCTGTCCAAAAAGGAGCAGATGTAACCTACCAGTGGGTAGGTTGATCTACAGAGCACATGGGTTGTTACAGCCTCTGTCTACAGAGCTATAGTTGAAGCTATAACAGCTCATGCTTAAGTATCAGAGGGGTAGCTGTGTTAGTCTGGATCTGTAAAAAGCAACAAAGAGTCCTGTAGCACCTTATAGACTAACAGACATATTGGAGCATAAGCTTTCGTGGGCAAATACCCACTTCGGAAGTGGGTATTCACCCACGAAAGCTTATGCTCCAATACGTCTGTTAGCTCGTGCTTGTAGGTCTAGAGGTTCACAGTTCTTTCCCTGTTGTGTTTGCCAATATGGTGGCCATCACACAGAGCTGAATGCAATACAAAAACCTACAATGCCATAAAGTGCCTGCCAATTTTTTGTCATTCAATGGTTTTCAGAAAAACGAAAACAATCTTTACTAATTTTTTTGTAATTCAATTTCACGTGAAGTGTATAAATAAACCAGTTTATGGGTTACCATTGGGTATTTTTAAATAAATATATTAATCTATACTGCACCAATTAATTATGAACATGCATTATTGCAGTATTGGGAACAAATCCTAAGTTAGTATACCAGGGCATTACCTCAAGTAAGAAAACAATTGGCAATCAGCTTCAGTTCAAGAGTGTAGAAGCAGGTACTAAAATATTTCCTGTTCTGTCGCAAGTGAATATGTTCCAGTGTTCAATTTCTAATCTTCAAAGATGCTTTGTTATGCTACTAACAGCTGTTGTAAGTAGCATTGTTTTTATGCTTACTATTTTTGTTTCATGTGTCAAACTTTTTTCTTTCCTCTTTGCTGTTTGCTGCATTTCTGCTTCGTCAGAGAGAGCTGCGGGTCTTTGCTGCCGCTTAGTAGTCCCCTGTCATAAAGGAATGCCAAGGCTTACTGATCTATCTGTCAAAACCAAAGATGTCTGGGAAATTCCACGAGAATCCCTACAGTTGATCAAGAGACTGGGAAATGGGCAGTTTGGGGAAGTATGGATGGGTATGGAGTGAAACTATTATTTTAAAATAGTCTTCCTGTTTGGGAATTACAAGATGGAAGGTGGAAGTCAAAATGTTAAGTGTCCAGAGAAAAAAAATTGTTTTTTAATTTGGAAAGATGTCTTAGACATGTCTTTGACTTTGAACATTTTTAGTTTCAAACATCTGAAGTAATTTATGGCAAAAGAAAACTGATATCATATGTTATTTCGCAAGGTTTCAGTTTTGACAAATTACCCTAGCCTTACTAATACATCAAAGCTCACGTTCTAATCTTAATTATAAAAAGGGTCTTTTAGCAAGCTGGCATAAACTCCCTACCTTCAGTTTCAAATATGAGTGTTTGCAAAAACTTAACATGGCAGTGAAGGACAAATCACCTTCCATCTTTCTGAATGCATGCATAATTTTGGATTATAAGTATTTTTATTAATTTCCTTTCCTATAGAGAAAGCTGATGGTTTGTGTTTTAACTTAACTGTGATTGCTTCGAATCATACTCCACAAACCGTCGGATTGGCTAAAGATGCATGGGAAGTTGCACGTGATTCATTATTTCTGGAACAGAAGCTTGGTCAGGGGTGTTTCGCTGAAGTGTGGCGTGGTAAGGCAGAGAATATGTTTTGTTTTGGATGGATCTTTTAAGGCCATCTTAAAAGAAATAAACCGTTTGAATAGAGATTTTTAAGCAAAACAATCAAATTGTTTGAAGTATTACCTTATATCTGTTGATGTGATCAGACTGACTGTTATGATCACCCTATGGCAAACATTGTGTTCACTTTTTTCCCTTCACATTTACTGGTATAAGGGATTTATTACTTTAAATTTTATTAATTGCTTTAAATTTACTCATATGACTAAATAACTAAGATAATGAAATAGAAGTGACACTGAATGTGTAAAGCACAACTGTTAATTAAGCAGCTTACCCTGAAAACACATACATATGTAAAGTTCCTCACACAGGGAACTGTTTACAGGATCAGGCCCTAAAACAGTCACTTTCCCTGTTTTAAAAATAAGAGTGAATATGGGGATAGCTGATTTTGCCAAAATAGCTTTCCCAGTCGTTGACTTTGCTAGTTTAGTTTGCAGTTCATAACCTCTGAGTAAAGAAATCTGGGGATTGGGAGGACATAGTCATGACCTGTACAGCTGCTTTGAAACCAAGGGATTTTTGCAAGTTGTAAATTCAGTGGCCGTGCCCCTGCTCCTACCACTTGCCCAGTTAATCCCTTCTACCTGGTCTTCAATTTTTATTGATTATAAAATAATAATTTAAAAAAATATTTGTACACTTTTAAATCTTAGCAGCAGCAAAATACAGCACCACAGCTATTTTATAAGTAGTGAGTTAGTTTTTGCACTAAATGATACTCTACACAGCCCTATCAAAACCAATAAAAAAGATTTCCAGTATGTTAAGACGACATCATCATTAGCAATGATATTACCTAAGAATCATGGGCCAGTAGGACCAGTGTGGGCTAGCTATTTTGTACTGCTGCAGTGACCCACAGCAGCTGTAAATCCAGCTCAACTAATTGGTTAAACTGGGACTTTGCAGCTGCTTTGATTGTGGGAATGGTGCAGTCCCGATTTTGGGGTCTTTTTCTTAAATAGGCTCCTATTACCCCCCCACATACCCTGTCCTGATTTTTCACATTTGCTGTCTGGTCACCCTAACAGCAAATATAATAAGAAGTGTCCCAAATACAAGTACACCTCTACCCCCCATGTAACGCGACCCGATATAACATGGTAAAGCAGCGCTCCAGGGGGGCGGGGCTGCACGCTCTGGCGGATCAAAGCAAGTTCGATATAATGTGGTTTCACCTATAACGCGGTAAGATTTTTTGGCTCCCAAGGACACCGTTATATGGGGGTAGAGGTGTACTTAAATATACTGCAGTCATAGTTTTGAACAGTGCAGCTAGCAGACAGACAGAAATGCAAGCACAATTAAGAAAAATAATATGTCTATAATAACGAGGAAGTAATGTGTGGTAATAATCTATGATAGACCCTGAAGCAGCATAAAATTAGAGCTGGTTAAATACTAAAACAAATTACTCAGGTTTTGCTATTAATAATGTATTTTAATAATAGCCAGCCAGCTATGGACAAAATACTGTACATAAGCAGATCTCCAGTAATGAAAGTTACTGCTAGTGGTGGTCTCAATAGCAGATAAAAATACCGAATCATAGTAAAAAAAAATTATAACTATTTCAATGAAAATTTTAGTAAGGTTTTAGGGATTTTTAAACAACCTTTTTATTTTGATTTTTTTAAAATGGAGAAATTTACAGAAGATAAAGTATTTTTACAGTGGAAACACAAACCGTTCAAATCCTAAAGGTTGATAGAATGAGTCTTGGGATAGTTTAATAAGTCAAGAGTAAATAGATAATATGCAATTAATTTTGCATGAAGTTGGAATAAAATTCTGGCTTCATTGATATCAATGGCAAAACTTCCATTGACTTTCATGGGGCTAGGATTCCATCCTTAGTGTGCATGTTCATGGTGTTTTAAAATGTGCGGTTATTCCGCGAAGTGACTCTGTAAATGGCACTGTGTGGTTCTGTTTCTCAATGACTCCATATAAAATGTACTCCATTTTACAAATGGTAACGTTTTCTGCCAACCCTGCAACATTCTTCCTGAAATCTAAAAGTCAAGCAGTGTTCTTTCCAGCTTGCATTTCACTACCTTATCTGGGTTGCATTTCAAGTGCAGCTAAGATGTAACTGAGACGTGCTACTCTGCTGAGCCAGGATTACTAATAAGAAGAGTTTACTCAAGTAGTCAGAGAGAACAATTTATTTAAAAAACTCAGCAGTCTTCCCCCACACATGCAATTTTTTTTTCAAATTGAACATAAGCAGGCTTTGATTTTTACTAATTTAGTCATAATTCTGCAAACACTACGTGCAAACATTTTCGCCTTTGGGTTATTCATACTATTCACTTGGACTGATCACTGCTACTTACTAATTGTGGGTAAAATTCACCCCTAACAAAGTACCAGCACCACATCAGTCCTACTTTTGCCCTATTTTGAAGGTTTAAGTGGGACTTAAATACCATGTAGGTCTTTTGCTGCCCACACACACAGAGTGAATTTCACCCAGTATAATTGTCTACCTAAGTCGTTTGGTGGTGTTCAATAAGGCACAAAAACAACTCTATAAAGGGATCAAATTTTATGTGAAATTATTGAGACACAATGATCATGGAACCCCATGGTGCCACTTTCACAGTCAGTGTTCAGTGCAGAACGAGTCTGGAGAGCCTGCACCACTAATTTCTGTGTTTAAAAAAATTAAGCATTTGCCTTTGTTTCCTTCCTTGCTGACTCCTGTAATTACAAGGATTCTGTGTAACAGACTAGTTTCTGTCGGTATCTATTTCTGACAATGTATGTAGCAGTAGTGAACTAGCCAGCCCTATTCCTGAAGCTGTACTGACATCACTGACACTGTCATATATGAGCAGGAAAATAAGTGTAAATTTCAACATCAGGAGCTCAATCCTGAATTCCTTACTCAAGCAAAACTTGCACTGATGTCAGAGCCTGAGTAAGGATGGAGAGATCAGTCCCTGTATTGGTAATGAAAAATAATACTTTGTCATAACGAAAAAGGACTAAATTGATAGGAAGAAATGTAAACAAAAAAGAGTAAAGCAGTTTTAAAAATAATATTGGTGTCCTTGTAAATTACTCTGCACTTAAATTAGGTGTTAGTTTTCTTTTCCAGACAGAAGGATGTTTAACTTAACAAAATATCTATGGATTGGTTGTAGGTACATGGAACGGAAATACTAAAGTGGCAATAAAGACTCTGAAGCCTGGCACAATGTCCCCAGAATCCTTCCTAGAGGAAGCTCAGATCATGAAGAAGCTAAAGCATGACAAGCTAGTCCAGCTTTATGCTGTGGTGTCTGAAGAGCCCATCTATATTGTCACCGAGTACATGAATAAAGGTGAAACAATGCTGCTGACCTTGGTCCTTATCAATAACAAGTCTTTTTGTATGTTCAAGCACCCGTGGATGGGTGGGTGTGCGTGCACAGTGTAAAGAATGTTGGGCCAAATTCAGTCCTAGGCATAAGTAGGCACAGATTATTACCCCAGGTCTGAATTGGGCCCCAAGAATTGAAAATGTTTATATGGTTTCTGTACAAGTCACACACAGCTTGAAAAAAAGTTAAACAGCCAGGTACAGCACAAGTGTTCCAGTTAAAATATCATCTTATCCTCCTTGATAACAGGAGTTTCAAAAGTTTTACCATTGAACTATGCTTTATATTGCTTCAGGATATCCTAACTCTACCTGGCACCAGCATGTTCATATTGAATCTCTTGTCGGTGTTCATGTTGTCAGTCTGAGATTTTTTTTTCCTGTGGCAGTGCTGAGCCTTGTAGGGGACACACTGCCCTCAGAAGACAGCTTAATTTTCAGGCTGCTCTATATATCATTGTAAAGTATATGTACATACACTTTTAGCTACTTAACTATGGTAACAATCTAGTAAAATGAACTAGGGAAAACTTTTAGCTAGCTTGTCAGTCAAATGTTGCACCAGTGCTGAGGGGAAGACCAAAAGATGCGTTTGTTTTGGGAAAGTAAATGAACCAAATAAAGGAACAAGTTCTAAAGGGAATTTCATTGTACAATGGAGGATACCTTTTACAGTTTTTTTAGTGGTTTCTTTTAATCTATTTGGAGTTGATTTTTATTTTCCTGGCAAATTATTATGATTAAAGGCTCAGTGCCAAGCACGTGCTTTTCTTGAAAACTCTCTGTTCTAGAAATGTTTCTGAAAGATGAAGCCTGTTTTGGCTCAGACTTTCCATCAGTTTTGACTGTACCATTTTGGACCTTTGGTTCGGGGCTTTGGTTGAAGATTTAACCAGGGGGAAACTCCTAATCTTCTGTCCTCTCCCTATATTTATTAAATCAATTTCTTTACTTAAATGCTTTTAAACAAAGATGGTTTCCCATCCCTATTCAGGGTTAAGGTGTGAGAGCAGGAAGGCATGGTTCTCCCTACTCTGCTGAAAGCAAAGGGGAACTCCCTGATATGCTTCTTGGGGCACCCAGGGCTGAGAGTCACCTTGTTGCCACATCCTGTCAGTGCAAGGGAGTCTTGCCTGTGGCAGCTGGATGTCAGCTCCCTAACACAACCAGCCTGTCAGGTACACAAGCACTCTCCTCTGGGCTGTACCAGCCCTTTGCCCCTGCCCAGGATCCCTTCAAAGTGTCCCCCTGGGGCATTCAGCCCCTAATCACTGGATACACACAGAGATCCCAGGACTTCTGTTCCCAATGGAACAATGTACCCCAGTTTACCAGCTTTGCCTTAGCCCACCATTCTGTGTCACATGCAGCACTTGAGTTCAATTATAGTAAAACAAAAGGCAATTTATTTGAGAGAATGGAGATTCAAATAGACACAAGTGTGAGTGGTGGAAACAACCGGTTACATATGAAACAAAATCATAAAACATGAACTAGGGCCTACACTTATTAATAGGAAAAGTAAATTACTAATAAAGTAGATTCTCACTCTGTAGTTCAGTCTTCTGCAGCATTTGGGTCCTAGCTCCATGGGGCTAATAGTCTTTCATGAAGCACCTCCGCTCATCAAGGTATCTCCTCAGTGAATGGAATCAGAGTGTCTTTCTTCCACTGTGATGCACTGAATCAGTTTATCTGTATTCATTCCCCTTGGTGTCTCATCATTCCTTTTCACTGCCAAGTGGTTTCAATGTTTACAGTTTATCTTTGATGGTTTTCCATTGACTTTTCTGTGTTGGTTGCAAAGGTAGAAGACCAAGCAATACATTACATTATTGGCCAGCCAGAGAGGGATGACATGAATGGGCCACATGAATGGGCCATCACTGAGACATATGATTCTTTGATGACTCACTTTCACTCCAAGACCATAGGGGCATAATTTTCAGTATAGTTATATTATTCAATAAATATTACCCATACATATTATCACTCAATCATGATCCATAATTTACAAGGTCTCAGTAGAGACCTCACATGCCACCCTTTTATAGATAAACACCATGAAAGTGAATTTGGAGTAGTGAATTTATCAGGCCTGAGACAGGAGTAGCTTGTAAAGAACAGTGATCCCTTTGCCAGTTGGCACCAATAGGCCTCTGTGTCACACTCCCACTTTCTCCCCTAGCTTGAGTAAGCAGCACTCCCAGACAATTTAGCAGGTGCGGTGTGAGCTCCCTCTCCTGTTTCAATCTGCTTTAATCACTGCCTCTAGTCATTCCTCTGTTCAACACCACTTTGTCTTCAACAAGTGCATAATTCAGTCTTTTAAATGTAATGTCTTATTATATATTACTTTAAAAAGATGCGCTGTTGATTTCTATCTTCTAAGGAAAATTAGCCTCTGTGAATGCTAGGCTTGTAGGCCTGTTAGGCTGCAGCCTGACATTTCTCTTGGAATAGGTTGAACTAGGATCTGAGACTTTCCAGGGATTGCATGGCTTAGAATAGAAATGTAAAGCTGGAAGGGATCTTGAGAGGTCATGTAGTACGGCTCCCCCACACTGAGGCAGGGCCAAGTATACCTAGAGCATCCCTGACAGGTATTTGTGTAACCTGTTCTTAAAAAACTTCAATTGCAAGGATTCCACAATCTCCCTTGGAAGCCTATTCCAGAACTTAACTATCTTCATAGTTAGGTTAGATATTGGGAAAAACTTTCTAACTCTCCCTTGCTGCAAATTTAAGCTGATTACTTCTTGTCTTATCTCCAGTGGACACAGAGAACAACTGCTCACTGTCCTGTTTGTAACGGCCCTTAACATGTTTGAAAACTGTTATCGGGTGCCCCGTCAGACTTCTTTTCTCAAGACTAATCATGCCAAAAAAATTTAACCTTTCTTCATAGGTCTAAACCTTTTATCATGTTTGCTCTCCTCTGGACATTCTCTAGTTTGTCCACAACTTTCTTAAAATGTGAAGCCCAGAACAGGAGACAGTACTCCAGCTGAGGCCTCACTAGTGCCTAGTAGAGTGAGACAATTACCTGCTGTGTTTTACATATGACACTCAGGCTAATATCCTGAGGTGTATTAACAGATTTCACAACTACATGATGTTGTTGACTCTCATTCAATTTGTTATGCACAAAACACCCCAGATCTTTTTCACCAGTACTACTGCCTAGCCAGTTATTCCTCATTTTATATTTGTGCATTTGATATTTTTTCTTTTTAAGTGTAATACTTTGCATTTGTCTTTATTGAATTTCATCTTTTTGATTTCAGACCAATTCTTCAATTTCTCAGGGTTGCTCTGATGACCCCTATTGACGTTTCAATTTCTCTCCCAATGTTTAGCCCTCTGTTACGCTCACCTTTTTAAAAACCTTTCTGGGGGCTTTTGTCAACTTGCCCCCTTTGAACGTGATGTAAAGCCCTCCTCATTCTGTTGCCGAGTCAGTGTGCGCAGGTGCTCTCAGGTGGACCCCATCGCTTCCCAACAGTCCTCTCTCCTGGATCAGCATCCTATGGCCAAGAAAGCAGCAACTCTCCTGTTGACACCATATTTGCAGCCATTGTATTCATTTCCAGGATGCTCATGTCCATGCCTCTGGGACTCCTTTTGGATTTTCAGATCACTAAAGAGCTCCTAAGAGAGCCATATTGGCCACTTACTATTCATCCTATCTTGGAATTGTGTGGATGTTTTCAGCTAGATCAGGTCTTTACAGAGCAGTGGGTATGTTGTTCCAAAGAATATTAGCACATACATGAAAAGTTAGACATATGTATTTTGTCAGTAACATTCAGGAAAATTTAAAACAACTGGCACGGGTGAACCAGGGGCTCAGGGAGGCTAGCGCCTGGCCTGCCCCTTCTGCCCGAGGCTCCATCCATCCTGCCCCCTTCCCCCACCAGAGCCAAACACCCCACCTCATCTCCAGCCACCAGTGCGCTTGCGCGCGCGCTCTCTCACTCTCTCTCACTCTCTCTCTCACACACACACACACACGTGCCTCCAGCCCTGGAGCACCAAGCAGGTGGCGCAGCACCATTCTCCAGCCACCCAGAGTCTTCCCCACGGCCGGGCCCATGGGGGAAAAGCCGCAGCAGAGCGCCGCGAGAAGCAGG